GGTAGTAGGATGTGTTTTTCTCTACTTTATGCAAAAACACAGTGAGATATGAGATATAGATAGGAACTGACAGACATCAACCAGGAAACAATCAGTTTCTTCTGAAAATCACTGACTGTCCAACAATTCAAGGACAGAATGATCATATATGTTACACAAAATTAATAGGTGACTCAAAACCATAAATGGCCTTAGTAAAGTCAGTGTACAACAGAAACATCATCTGAATTGTACATTACTGCTCCAGGAAAGAAAGAACTTATAGATTAATAGGAATTTTTAATTTTGTGAATGTTTGTGTGTCATTTTTAGCCAAAATAACAGTTCAGTAATGAATATTTATGGAAAAGATAGACTATGAAGCCACAAAAGTGTTTTTAGTGTGCCATTGTCATCAGTTCTACTAAATAATTATCATTATACATCTAAAAATATCTTGAATGGATAATACTGAATAATCTAGATCACCAAATTGCATTAGAAGGGTATTAGCTGACTCAGGAGACTAATTATAATGAGGTATTGAGCTGCTTATCTCTCGTCTCAATCTTAAACCATAAACCACACTGAACAGCAGTGGCTACTGATCAGGGTCAGCGTGGAGGAGTGCAAATAGCATTGAATAAGGGTCCAGAGCCTTAACTCTGTGATTAACTTGGTAACCTTGGGAGCTCTTAATAAAGATCATCCCCACATGAGTAAAGCAGATCCGTTCCAGAGGGAAATAAACCTATGTTAGTGGCTGAAGCTGCTCTCACATGGAAAACACTCTAAAGTGCAGAAACACTGCACACAGAGGTGCATGCACGTACACACACACACACACACACACACACACACATTCATTCACCTTTCCCAGGCTAATACCTTCTTGCTTAATGGGCCAGTTCAGTACTACTATTAACCAACTGATTATCATTTGAACAAATGTTATCCATCCATGCCCTTAATAACAGCAGCTGACATAAAATTACCAAACTATTTTCTCACTCACAGGATTTATCAACCAGAGGTCAAAGCTAAAATTATTATATTTGTTTCTCAATCTATTTTTTAATAACAGTAATATCATTATATGGTGTTTTCAAGTTTCTAAAGCACCTGGCAACTATTTTGTGTAATCCAAATAGTCCAGCAAAATCAAGGGGACATACTTATGTGTGCTGGATTTGGTGTCGGTGGGATTTCTCAGCACCTCCCACTCTGCTAAATTCAGACATGGAAAAAGAATTAAGACAAAGTTCCTAACTTCAGGTTCTTTTGGTTACAGGCAGAGACAACACATTGTGTTCTAATTATCTTTACGTATGTGGTAAGTCTTAAAAGAGAAGAAAAGAGGGAATTCTATTTCTTCTGGGAATAAAGTTGTGTATTCATGGCAGAATAGGGGAAGGATGGACAGGGGAAGATGCCGAAGACAGCTTCACTGAGGGAGTGACTTTGTCTCTGGATTAAACTTCCTACTCTACCCCTCCATAGCAGAAGCTGTGGGTATGACTGAACCTCTGAGAGTTTGGGGTTCCTCATCAGCTAAATACAAACAATGTTGAATTCACTGGGTTGCCAGTAGGTAGGATTGAATAAGATAACATGTGGGAGGGCAATTTGCAAATAGCAAAGCACTCAATAAATTGTATACTGTTATTTCCACTTTTTAGAGGCACTAACTTGTTTTGTTCCACAAGAGAGTGGCTTACTAAGGACAGCCTCACACCCCCACCCACTGCCAGTGTCCTACCCCAGACTCTGCAGTTCCCCATACTGCTGGCTGAGGCTGTTGAGGAATATGGAAGGCATTCAGCTTGATAGTATTTCATGGGGTCTAAAATTATGTTAACATATTCATATCAATAAATATCTCAAACTCTGATGGCTTCCCGTGAAATGTTGTTTCTAAAACCTAAGTGGATTCTCTCACAAAAGAAGGAACTAACAGAGCATTGTAAGAGAGAAATTATGAAAAGGAAGTATTTAATACAAGGATAAAATAGTCATAACTTTTTAAAAATAAAAGATTCTGAACCACCCAAAGTTTCAAAGCATAAAACACAACAGGTCCTGAACTGTTTGATTTAAGAATGCATTTTAACAGAAAACATTTGAATACACATGCAACTTACACTTCATAGGTATTAAACTTCAAGAGATAAAGTCAAAGATTTAACCTGACTTTTTTACCCCTAAAGCTGTAATACTAAAATTTATTCCCTTATATATACATTGCTGTAATCCAATATATTATAGTCCATTTTTAGTTCTTTAAAGATAATTTCATTTAACTCTAGTGATACTTCACTCACATTAAAAAAACAGAAGAAGTAAAATATAATTATGCCTAGCTCATTAATAATAGGTCTGGAAAATCTTAGGTTAAAAAAAAAACGATTGTATTCTGTGTGCCTGACAACGTTTGGAAATTGGAAACATACAGATATTGATGTTGAAAAGCTAAACCCTAAAAGTCATATCTTAATAATATTTGGAGATAGGACTTTGGGGATATAATTAAAACTAGATGAAGTCATGAGGGTAAGACCTTCTTGATACATTACTCACTTTATCAGGTGAGAAAGAGGGACCACAGCTATATACTTACCCTCTCTCCCCATGTGATGCTCTCTGCCATGCTGAGACAGCAAAAAGACCCTTACCACGGGCTGGCACCATGCTGTCGGGCTTCTGAGCCTCCAGAACTGTGAGCCAAACAAACTTCCACTTTTACAAGTAACTTTTTCTCAGTTTACTATATCAACAGAAAATAGACTAAAACATCATTAAGATGTCTCTTTTCTTGCTCTCTAAATTTTGGTAAGGAATTAATCACCAAAAACAGGTTATTTCAACAAAATACAAAGAAATTGGTTCTCTCTTAATAACCATCTATTTAGGGAGTTTTTAAGGAAAAATTCTTAAAAGTCTATGAGATTTCCCTTTCCGTCTGCCATATCTCTCCAATCTTCCTCCAAAATCACTGGCATCATTTACATCTTGAAGGTCAAGGTTAAACCTGGGTTCATACTTATCTCCTTTCTGATCTGATTTGCCTGTTTGTTGTTTCTGCTCTTTAGCAGTATAAACGGCTTGTGGCCTGGTGATCAAGCTGTCCTGGATTGAAGTTCATCTCCACCACTTATAAATTATGGGACTTGGGCACACTAGCAAACTTTTTTAGCCTCACCTGCCTCGACTACTGAAATGGAGAAACAATAGTATACACTGAATAGAGTATTTAGATTAAATGGGATGACTCTAGTAGTACATGTGTGTCATGTAAGTTCTTAATAAACATTAGCTCCTCTAAGACTAATAATTACTGTTAGGTGGGGCATGGTGGCACAGGCCTATAATCCTAGCACTAGGGAGGCTGAGGTAGGAAGATCTTTGCGAGTTTGAAACCAGCCTGGGCTACAAAAGTGAGCTTAAGGCCAGTCTGAACTGCATAGAGAGACCCTGTCTCAAAAAGGCAAAAAGACAAAAAAAAAAAAAAAAATGACTGTTATAACTACCAATCCTGAGTTTAGGCTTGCTGAAAACTATTAGATATGGTACAGTTGCCTTAACAAGGACACTTATTTCTTTTGTAACATGCGGAAAATTTACCAGTTATTTACATATGTAGTTTTATCAGCTATTTATAGACATAGATCATGTGGCCACAGAACACAAGTAGATCATTTAGTAACCTATCAATTTAATAAAAATAACTTTCTGTATTTAGAAAACCGGTGATGGGGTGGAAATCCTAAAAGCACCTCCTGTTAGATTGTAAATAAATATAGATGAAGGACCAGGCAATGATTCCCAGACTGCTCACCTGCTAAACCCAGGCTGTAACTCATAACTTGGCATTCTAGGGTGGGAGTCAGAACAAGAGAAAGTGGTCCTTGTTCTGGGTCTTGTTTATTTGACCCCAGAACTATAGCCCTGGCATTGCCTTCTAGACTGGCTCTATCACATTCACTGCACGATTTGGGTGATTTCATTATTTGGAAGTAGGGAGGCCTCAGCTTTCTCCTCGAAACTTCTGACCCTTAGTATACCTTGGCCACCCCTACATAACATAAAGACTTAAAATTCTCGGGTTTTGCTGGGAGGACCAAAGAAAAAATTTAACCACCCATAAAAATTCTTTAAAAAAAAAAATCAGTGAATGAGGTTTCCCTTTCCCTCTGCCATCTCTCCCCCAACCCTCCCGGAATTTATGAATTCTCTGCATTTTCAAGGTCAAGGTTAAACCTGTGTTTTTCTCATCTTTCTGGTCCTATTTCTCTGCCTTTTCTGTTCTCTTTTTCCATTGCTTTTCCAGAATCCAAAATTTATGCAAAACAAGTCACTTAAACTTCAGGAGAAAGTTTAGGTGTTCAAGTCCCACTTGCCTACCTACCTTCCTTTATCACTGCTGTGCTAGCATTTCCGTACTCTCTCAGCCAATGGAGGAGTTTAAATATTTAAATGCGGTGTTTAAACTGCATTTAAATAATTAACCCATGTTGCTCCGCGCTGGCCTAAACTACAGGGTGCCAACCGGACACTAATTGCTTTCATCTGGTGAGGTTCCAGACCGCTCCTCAGAAGGAAGGAGCGCACATTCCTGGCACCAATTGGCTAATTCAATTTACTTCAACAGCATTAGCCTCTGTCAGAATATTCATGAGCAGAGGAATGAGGACCTGCGGCAGCACAGGCAGTCGGCAGCCACTCGGGCTAGGGAAGGCTCCAGGGAGGGGAAGTGGACGGCGTGCCGCGCTCGGGGGACTGTGACCGCGAAGAGGCTCTTCTCATCGCCCGGCGGAGCGCTGGGGACCGCGAGAGCGCGGACCAGAGCATCGGCGGGGTTGGCGCGCCTCGCAGTGCCCCCCGCAACTCCTGGAGACCGCGCGGAGACTTAGCGAAACATCCGAAGGCAGAAGAGCTCTGACACTTTTGACAGAGGGGGAAGGGGGGTGGGGGGCGGGGCGGCGCCGCGAGCGGGGGCGAAGCGACCCAGCGGGACACCGGCCGCCGGGTAGGGGAGGCAGCGATGTGAGCTGGACGCTCGCCCCTGAGGAATCTGAACGTCTCGGGAGAGTCGCCGGCTGTGCCAGGTAAAAGGGAAGGCTCGGGTCGGGCCGCGCGTCTGTCCCCAGGCTCCCCAGGCTCGAGGCGCCAGGAGCGCGCGGAGCCTGCAATCTGCGTGAAGCGGCCCCAGGAGCTGCGCGCGGTCCAGCTCTGCGCTGCGCCTTTTTCCCAACTCCCTGCCCGCCCTCCTGGCGACCCTCTGGGCCACCCTGAGTTCGACTTCCTCGGACTTTGTGGCGAAGAAGGCATAAAGGGGTTGCCCGAGCTGAAGGAACTGCTCTCTGAGAGCAGGAAAGCTGAGGCGTAACACGCCGGGAGCCGGCGTTGTGTGCGCCAGAGCTTGGTGATCGGGAACCCAGAGCGCGGCTTGCGGGGCGCTTGGTCCGGGCTTCACCCTTGCTTGCCAGGCGGGCGGCGGCGCCTCCCTCCGACTGCGGAGGGGAGAGAGTGCAGTGTCCGCGCTTAGGGACACGCTCGGAGAGCGGGCTAGAGACCGAGGCTCTGAAGGCACAGGCACTTTCAGGGCTGATCCCGCGTCTGCACCCCCGCGTTGCGCGCTTGCTAGAGCTCTGGCCGTGGGAGGAGAATGCGATGGTGACTCGCGTCCCGCCACCTGCCGGACATCACCAACTCCCCGGATTTCCTGTCTCCGGGCTGTAACACTCCCAGCGAAAGCTCTGAATTGCGCGCGGGTTGTTCTGGCTTTGCTTGTTGGTGGTGATGTTTGTGTAGAGCTGGGAAAGGGGGAGGGTGTGCAAAGAAGGGTCAGATCGGGTTAAAGTTTCAGATTTGCAAAGAAAACACTACCTTGGAGTCGCAGTTTGTTTTTAGCAGGAGAGACTGTGGGCTTGATTTAAGCTGAAGGAAGAACTTGTACCCAGCCATCCACTTCAGGGGCGCGGCTAGAACCTGGAGGCCAGCTGGAGGCACCCCCAGGGGCCCTTTGCCCTTTTCTCCACCTGCTGAGCCCAGGAATAGAGTAAGGGGCTGGCACCAGAGAACTAAGGGTTGGTCGCTGGTCAGATTCAGAGTTTACAGTATTATTGCCATCATCATTATTATTAATGCTGCTCTTGTTATTGGCACAAATGACAGGAAGGATTTTGGCACTGTATTTGATTGTTATAATCGCCCGGAAACTGAGTCTCTACCTCCTGTCCTACAAATGATGTCCTCCACTGTCTGATGTGTCTCCACGGAGGGAAATTAACCCCTTCAGAGCGGTGGTGTTGTCAAGAACGCAGCTAAGGAACTGATTTTACCTAAGAATAACGAAAACAACAAATTTGCGACTATAACGCGTTCGCAGCCCTGCTTATAGGTGAATTTCTATCCGTTGGCCTTCCTCAGCCTGCTCTGGTGGGAGAACTGTGGAGGCATAACCATCTTGAACCTCACACTTGACCCAGCTTTCCCTCTCACGATTCACAAAACCTCGGAAAGTCTTTTCCTTAACTAGCGTGACCCCTGCAGCTGCACAGGGCATGCTCCCTGGCAGGGGCAGGCGTCAGTGTCAACACTGGTGGAAGCTACAAAGACACCTGCAGTTACCTCTTTTTAACTTGACCCCTGGTCAGGTCTCCTCCAGGGCACAGGCCAGCTTGGCAGGGCACTTGACCAGCTAACGAAGGGCAAGAGTGTGGGGGAGCAGACTGGCAGAGTTAAACTGAGGGTAGGAGATGAGGTCCAGCCTCCACACTGGCCACATCCCTTCCTGCCAGAGAAAACAGAGACAAATAAAGAGCAAGAGGGAAGTCTTGTAAGTTTGACACAAGCTGTCAGAGTCTGCTTAGGCTGTGACCACTGACTTTGGTGCGACCTTTCTTCTCAGTGCCAAGCATTTTCCCTATTTGCCGATGCACAAGTAGCCATGTCTTTCTACTAGGCCTGTTGTTATGAGATCATCTAATTTTGTATCCACCTCCCCACCCCGTGCTACCCCAAAGTGCTTTGAGCATCTTAGGAACGTCAAACTATAAAATATGCAATTTTAATATTCTGTGAAAAGTTTGCTACACTGCAGGTTAAGGAGATACATTTTAGCATGTGTGCCATGTGGCAGTGTAAAATTAAAATGGAAAAGGAAAGTACAAACATAAAAATGACTTAGCATTCTTGACATTCTTGTGCATACTTGTAGCAAAATTATCTTTCGTTTGGGGAGAGTTGCCCGGGAATTTAATCAGTGTTTATACTACTGAAACACCCCTTTCTACCTTTCTCCTCAGTAAAATTTTACAACCCAGTTCTCATGGGAAAGGCAATGTAACTGTAGTAAGAGCTGGGAGTTGAGAGGAGCGATTGAAGGGTTGTTAGGGGAATTGTCATATAGAGCTTGGATACTGGAATGGAAAGTAAGATGCCATCATCTCTGCAAAGCAATGAAAAGTTTTTCTGGAAAAATCAATTGTGCGTCCTATGATAAGGGACTTGATGTAGATTGTTCTCTGCTCTGAGATTCAGTAAGAAGACACCATCAGGGGGTCCCAAGATGGCTACTTAGGTGCTTTTCACGCCTGCATTAGGTGAAGGTATTATCTTCTGCTGACCTTTGTCTGGGAGTGACTCTTCTGCCTTTCTGAGAATTACAGTGCAGTCGTTCCTCACCTCAGAGAGACTCAGCCATATCCTCTCAGACCCTGATACATTTCCCCAAGTTCTGAAGCATCTCAAAGACTGCAGCTGTTGGCAAGTTTAAGTAAACAGTTGGAAGTCATCAAGAGAGCCACTGAAAAGTGGGTATGTTTTCCCTCAGTGAGGAAGTTACTGAATGCCTTTTGAGCTAGAAAATTAGCAGTTTAGAAGAGCAGGAGGGATTTCCTTGACTTCCCTACACCCATAAACCAAGAGTTGCATTTTTCTTTCCCTCATAGTAGTGAGCACTGTTTGCTTATGCATTTTTTACAATTTTGGACTTAAAATGGGTTTTTGCCTGGTGGCAGTCTATGAAGAGAGGAAAAAATGTAAAGAGATACGGAAGGAAGAGCTGCAGTGGCTAGAACATAAATCAGCCAGAATATATGGGGAGGTGATTAGAATAGGTCTTTTCACCCTAAAAAAGAATGTCCACTTTGGAAGAAAAGGAAGTCTGATTATTGGCATCCCAGGCTGAAACCAAGGCAGCTGATGCCGAGAAGAGCCAAAGGGCAGTCCTTCTTAGTTTAGAAACAGCGAGACAGCCTCTGCCAAAGATTGCTGTAAACATGGAATAAAGATTTCATTGTGGGCCAGTGTGACTGGAATAATTAGACAGTTAATTGTTCATTCTGATCAGGTGGTGCTACAATCAGGAGTGCAAAGTAGCGAAAAGAAGAGCAAGGGGGAGATAGAAAAGTAGTATTTTTCATTTTTATATTCTCTTTTCTTTTTTACTTTGATGGCACTTTGGGAAATCCTGATTAGTTTCAAAAAAGAAAAAAAAAATTCCTCAGAACACTGCAGAGCTAAGATACACTGCTGCCATTTTTTCCCTTCCATGTTCTACTCCAGAGATGGACAAAAATTTTCATCTTCTAAAACAGCACATGAAAGGATAGTAAAAATGCATTAGATCATTCTCATATTGATTGATAGATATTAGGTATAAACTTTAGTGCAATTCAATCAAGATATCACCAAATTTTTATGCTTCAACACTTTTTATACCAACATAAAAGGATTAAAAAGTAAATATTCCATTTTTGAGGTTTACTTATTTTCTATTGAGAAACAAATTGTCTACAATGATTCATCCTTCCCATTTAATTGAAGAAATAGTGTCTGCATTTTCATACTAATTTAGACACAAAATAAAATGTATTTTAAATAATAAAAGTGATTTTAAGCAACTGAACAGCTAGTTATCACAGGCAGTACACTGAGACTTGTTATTTGCTAAAAGATAGCACTGTAATCCATTTCTTCTGAAATAACTACTGCAAAAGAAGACATGAGCAAGGGACTATAGAAAACAATAAGTCTGTAGTGTCTAGGGAGGGGGAAAGAACTGTGTATTCATAAGGTTCAAACTCTTCCTGAATCCTGATATTGACATGGAATATGGGGCAAAGTTCTAACTATGTGAATTAAAAAAGGACCATCTTTAAGTGTCAGTGTTAAGTATAATTGTTCTGGGGATAAAATGCACTGTTATAAAGAAAGCATAATAAATTAAGACAAGGTCATACATTTTCCTAAAGAGAAATACTGTTTGTCCAAGACAGTCATCTTGTCTCTTTAAGAAGTATGAAAATATCTTTGCTAACCTTTAGTTGCTTTTATCCATCATAAATAAAAGGGATCACAAAAGCAAAGTACTTACTGATGTGTGAAAAAGCATAAAGGGTACAAAATTTGGGAACTATTTAACTCTCAGAAGAGAAAATTCTACTTTACAATATACACTCTAAGCAATTAAAAATAGAAAATCATATTGCCATATTAAGTTATGGCAACAATCCATTTTAAAGAGAAATTTAGTCTTTTCTCATTTAATTGCTACTCATGGTTTGCTAAATAGTTTTTCAGAATATTCTGCCCATCTCTTGCTAACCAAGAGGGTCAGGTTAAAACCGTTCTTAATTACATATGGATTAACTTAATTTTAGAACCCTGAGAATGAACATTCAATTCAAAGCATTAGTCAAATGCAATGCAAAACAGAAATGGTCCAATTCACCTCAAGGTATATGTAAATTTTTTAAGTTTAAGGGATCATAAAGAAGAGAACATTTGTGTGGAAATATATCACTGAAGAATGACAGTAAGGAAGCTATAAACTGTGACATCTTTTTAAAATACCTAAAGTTTTAACAATACCTCTCATTTCTTCTTCTAAGTCAGTAAATGTTGATCATGTGGAATACCACACAAAAGTACAAATGTTAAAAACATGCATAGCATTCATGAAGGGGAGTATTTTAGCATTTGACAATCTAATCAAAAGTTCAGAGATAATTCCAATGCCATTACTTCTTAAAGTAAAAGATACCTCACACAGGAGAGACATTTCTTCAGAGTTCCTGGCTATTTCTTTATAGCTCTTGTT